TTTTCGAAATTTTTGAAGAATTTCAAATAGAATCTGAAGCATTTAAATTTTCCACTAAAATTTCAAAACAAATTCCCAAATCTCTGTGCATCCAAAAAACTCATTCTTGTTTATTGCAGCAGCAAATATTTAATTGTGCATAATTCCCTACAAGTCACAACAACAACAACAACAACAACAACAATGACAAGCAAAATGCATCAGCAAGCCAACTAAACGCGAAAAGCAATGAAAATATTTTAATTTGCATTTTCTTGATGAGAAATTTGCAAAATTTACTAGCGCACAAATAAATTTAGCGGAAAATCGCTGAGCCGTAGGCGATAAAGTTGTGTCGAACAAAATAGGAAGCAAAATATTATAAATAAAATTAAGTACCAAAAGCAAAAGCGCTACAAAGCAGACAGTTGTTTGTGGCATGATGATGCGCGCAACGGTTGCAAGTTGTTAAGTGGCATACATATGAAGCATGGGGCACGAGGATGATTGTTTGTATGCTATATGTAGCATATTGCGGCATGTGTAATAAGTGCGTAAGCAGTAAGTGGCATGGGATTAGCATTTGTGGCATGTGGCATGTGGCGCAAAAATACTTATGTACTTGCCTTGTCTTGTATTTTTAGGCAAATCAAATTTTTATGATGCACACACCGCAAAAGTTTCGTAACGCGGAATGCTCATGTCTGTATATATGTATATTTGTTTGTGTATCCACATATGTTTAGCAGTTTCTCTCGCTACTAAACAAGCTGCAAGCTAATTTCTACTGAAACAACAAAATCTTTTAAATTTTTCTAATAACATTTTTGTTGTTGCCGTTGTTGTTGTTGATTTCGAATTTTCGCGGTTATTCCATGAATTCATGCATGTGAATACAAATTTTTTTGTTATACTTTGCATACTCAAGCGCATTGCATAGTTTCGTCTTGCAGTACAAACATCAAAGTGCAAAGTCATAAAGTTTGTGTTGGAAATCATAACTTTCCGCTTGAATACGATTCTTGCAGATGATCTTCGCAGGGATTCCGCTCAGTTTGCGGGCGCGTAGGCGGTCGTGCGGGTGGTAGTTGTTGAGCGAATGCGTCATAAGTAAATTGAGATGAAAAGTTTGATTGCCTGCTTTACCGTTAAAAAGCAAATAAATTCAATTTCAAAGAAAAAATAAATCCAAAGGATTTTCTATGGAGAGAAATTATTTTTTGTTTGGGTAAGTTTGGCAGGGAAATTATTTTAGGTTTTATTAAAAACTGATTGATAATAAGTTTAGTTTGTTCAAATCTAAGTCCAATCCAACATTAAAAAATAATATCCTGCTAGCCCGACAGATGTCACATTTAAATCTGTAATTTTTTGACACTTGACAAGTAAAAACTACGACAGTAATAAGAATGGAACGATACACGCTTCAACAAGGCACTGAAATTTCGAAAATCAACTCAAAAAATTTAACCTCTTTATTTAGGTCAATATGCAAAACTGTCGCATGTGGGCCCCGGAAAACCGAAAAAAACATCTCCATCCTCAACGTGTAGCTGTTTGGTGCGGTTTATGGTCCGGCGTGGTCATTTCAACTGACTTTTTCGAAAACGACTTGCTTGCGCTATCGAAAGGTGATCTGGACAATTTTCTTATCAACAAGGCGGCCACACAGGCAATCGATCATTCAATTGTAAGGTTTCTATGAATTTTAAAACAACACCTTGTTTGGAAAACGCTGTTGAACACCTTTCTTTAAAATAACTAAGTCGTTTCAGGAAAAAAATTCAAGCAAATCGAACCATAAATACCTGTCAGGTCCACTTCTTCTTGAGTTAAGTTGAATGTTGAACTACAAATAAGATTTTTGTGAGCTATTTGCTGCATGCTAATCTAAATTATTACCTTACAATCCACTAAATTTCAAGTGAAACGAATAATAAATGCGATTTTCTCATAAAAGTCGATCCCTGGTTCACTTCACAGAGTAAGGTAAAATTTCATTGCGGCCGCGATAGCCGACTGGTTTGCCTTACGTACTGCCATTTGGAAAGCAAGGGTTCAAATCCTGATACGACCATTATTCAAATACAGAAAATTAATTTAAATAAAATATCAAATTAAAATATGCAATTGCTGTCGCCCCTCGACAGGTCACTCACTCCTGTGAGTATATTTCTGACATGAAAACAAAACTCAGCCGTTCGGAGGTCCAACCATTTGTTGGATAAACATTAAGATGCAAAACCGAAAATCGGTCCAGACCGTCCCATTTCAGGGACAGCTAATTTTTTTCACAAATTTAATTTACTTATACCCAGGAACATAGATAAGGATTCCCCATTGAGCGGCATTCCATATGTATATAATGAAAACTAACCACTTGTTTTGTTGGAAGAGCTATTGTTTCTCTCTCGTGGGTACATCACTTCTTTATCCCACATAAATCAATAAAATTACAAATATTAAAAATTACGTAAGCGTTCACCAAGGAGTTGGAAGGAAACGATTCCGGGTTACGCATACTCACGCCTCCTTATGAAGTTTCAGTTTATGCAACGAAACCATCTATAAGGTTTTAGAATGAACCGACCAGATCTAGCCTCTGAGGTGGGCCAATTCGTAAATAGTTCCTAGTAATCTAAGCAAGTCGTTACTTATGTATCAAATTTGAAGTAAAAAAAAAATAAAAAACCCGATTTTTTCGAATAGATCCGTTACGGGTTCACTTTCCGCCATGAAACACTGAGTCTTACGAGCATCATTGCTCTAGAAGACTCACAAAACATGGAGACATCAGATGTTGTCATCATCCAAAGTTCTGTGGCATATAACAGGATGAGAATATTGGAGAACTAGTAGAGTATTGTTCGTCGAGACAGTGCTTGTCTACTCAGTCCAAGTTATTACCTATTGATAAGGGTGATTCGGTATATAAAATATCCAAGTCACCACCGCCAGTTATACCATCGAAGTATTGGTTTTGTCTAGGATTCCAATTGGAACAAATACCGAAATCTGCAAGTCGTTCATCACTCCTTTCCATAGGGTCGGGGTTGAAAGTTTTTGGAAGAGTGGTTTTGCAGCAGCGAATATGGTAGACGAGGGAACAATTAGTTCTACGATTTATAACTAGTCGCTGAGGTATGAAACTATTCCAGCATTTGAAGCTTGAGAAGCTTTGCTATACGTTAAAAGCAGAGGGAAAGAAGCATTGTTGAGATCAGTTTAGGAATATACAAATTTATTTTTATGCCTCCAATTGGTTCGGAACTACGAAAAGAAGAAACTACTGGGGTGTTCTTGAGCACTTTTCCATTAAGATCAAACTATAGATTCGACCCTTTTAATTAGTCTCTTAGATCTCAAAAAGCTGTGCAGTCGCTGCTCAGTCTGTATAGAGAAAACATGAATCTAGTGCACATATCACAGCCACAAACCAGAAAGCGCCATTCCCAGCAGCGTAGAGCATCGGACATACTCAGCAGTAGCGAGAAGACTGTAGGCATTTCGAATTTTAGCACCTGAATTACTTAGGGTAGATTTTCAGCAGATAATTTTTCATGCAGAAATTTCATAAAAAATCTTTACTCTTTTACATAAGATACATTCTCATTGGGGGAGAAGCTGAAGCAATAATTGCTGGTAGATAATTATTTTCTTGAATACAAGGAGAAAGTAAGAGGCAATTTTATTATTTAAACTACATTCATTTCATGTTAAAATTAAATTAAATATTTTTCCTTTTCAATTTCTTGCCTTTCCATTTTTAAATTAATTTAACCGAATCTATCCACCTCCCACCCTTCCTCCCAGACTCTTGCACAATTTAATAAACCCATTAAAAAATTATAAATAAATCAAATAAATAAATAAAATAATAAGTAAAATAGTAAATAAAGTCAATAATTAATGCATATTAATTATCCACAACTAAATATTAACATCCTTTTTTGGCCAAACCTCATTAAGCGCGCCATTATCGATTGATTTTATTTACATAAATAATTCCACTGTCGGGATATTTAAGCAATATTTACACGGGTATATTTAATAGCCTATAAATAACAGAATGGTAATTAATGTTGTTATATATTCCACGACCGCATTTACTCAAACTCCTCACCGCGCTCTCTTACCCTCTTCCTCTACTACGCACGGCATTTGCTACTCACTCTCACGTACTTGGCAAATTTCAAAATTAAAGTACATAACTCAAAGTATATAAAATTTATAGGAAATTAATTTTAAACATTTATTGCTTCGAACTGGGCTGCCTAAGCGAACAGTCTGCCAAGCGAACCCAAGCAAAGCAGCCAAAGCCTATACGTATAAAATGGTCTGCCACGCTTTTTGTTGGTCACTCGCATAATAACGCTTTAAATATATGAGTAGCAGACTGCATAAAAATCTGCTCAAACCACAGTGGCAACACTGGCATCCCAAAATGAAATGGACACAGCACAGCTGTGACTCGATTGGGTCCGAGCGAGCGTCAGTTTGTCAGTGATTGGGTGCAGGACGTGCTTTGGTGAAATTTTGTATCAAGGCACAAAGGCAAAATTAATTTTTATGTGTGTATTTATGTGTGTGTGCGCATGTGAGCATGTGCATATTTACAGTTATTGCCATTTTGTGGTATGACGCGACAATTATGCCATAAAATTGAATTTATGCGAAACAGCCAGCAAGTTAGCCGACCAGCCGCCAGGTCAGGCAACAACTGAACCCAATTGACTGGATAGTATGAGATAGAGGAAAAGCAGGAGCAAATGGCAGAGATTTTAAAGTGTGGTTAAACACATGACACCTTTAAATAAATATTATATTAAAAGGACATTCTCGAAAGCTTATTAGGACATCCAGTGACTCAATTTGTGCGTCTGTCAGCAGCTGAGGCTTTTTAAACATTAGCAGTGAGAAAGTGTTTATCAATTTATGAACATTTAATCGCATATTTGTGCAGAGTTAAGGAAAAATTTCATATGTTTAGAAACCAATTTTGAATTTCAACTCAAACTTACCGTCAATGTAGCTGACCACGATGTTTCGCCGCTCTCTGAGGATGCTGTGCATGTGAATAGACCTGAATCACTTTGTTGTAAATCTGAACAAGATACAAAAAGGAAACACCGGCAAGAATCATTAGAAATATCCAATAGGTGAAATTTCATCAAATGCAATAAAATAAAAAACAAAGTTAAAATAAAATAAAATAATATAAAATAAAATAAAATAAAATAAAATAAAATAAAATAAAATAAAATAAAATAAAATAAAATAAAATAAAATAAAATAAAATAAAAAAAAATAAAATAAAATAAAAAATCAAATGAAATAAAAAAATAAAATAAAGTGGAACAAAATTAAATTAAATTAAATTAATTAAAATGAGTTCAATTTCTATAACAATCTAACTAATTTTGAAAACCTAGTAAGTCTTATAAGTTCTGTTTTAAATTTTCTGTACCATGAAATTCAAAATTTAAATGCCTTCATTTAACTCACCATCAATACGCAGCGAACCACCCTGCACTATCGTATAACGATTGCCACTCTGCAGCATTGTCCCATCCTTGTACCACTTGACGCGTGGCGTTGGATTGCCTGATGCGCGACATGGTAACATGGCAACACTGCCTTTTGGTAATGTTTGATTTGAGGGACCAATTTGTATGATCGGCGGTGGGGTATCATCTACAGAGGTAACCTATAGCAACAGTTATGAAGAAATAAAAGGACATAATTTTAAATTTTCACTGGCATTAGAGGGAAAGGAAGCACACAAGTATATTAACGAACATAAAGGAAAGCTATTAGCAAGTAAAATAAATCACAAAGAATTCAAATTAGGAAACAAAGAAATACAACCACGTAAGAAGTACACTAAAGAAGATTCGGTTATTATTTAAATGGTAAAGGTCTTGTAAGAAAATATTCTAAGAAAATTGCTAGAAGGAAATTAAATGAATTGGAAAAAGATTGCTTCAAAACACAAAATGAGTTTATTTTTTTTTTATTTTAATTCAGATTGTCTAACTGAAGGCAATATATTTTTCATTATAAAAAAATATATACGCTTAAAAAAAAATATTAAAAATGTAAAATGTAGAATATTTTATTATATGAATAACAAAATGTTTGCTGCATACTTTTTCAAAAAAAAAAAAATTATTTAAGTTTTAGTAATAAATTCTTGTGCTGCGAGCACAAAAAGTTATAAAGAAACTTGTAAATTTCCTTTCAAATTTAAATCACAAATAAATAATACATTTTAAAATTCACACAAAAAAAATAAAATAAAATTTCCTTTAAGCCATTTACACACAAAATGGCAACCATGGCAACATTTGAGGTTTTTAATAAAAACCAAAAATGTTTGTAACTTAAAGCCAAAGCGGCAAAGGAAACGACTCATGGTGTTGACATGGAAATAATGATATGAAAATGTTTTACAGCGAAGAGAAACAAAAATTATTAATTATAAAATAGCAAATTTTTCATATTTATATGGAAATCATTTGCTAATAAAGGCGTTCTATGAAAATTTATTAGCCGAAAATAATAAAAACTGATAAACTAAGGCGAATATGTGTTTAAAATTAAAATAAATTTTTATATGGGTATATATGTATTTATAACATAATATTTAGTAAAATGATTTGACTCATAAATTTATTACTTTACATATTTTAAACTTTGTACAGCAAAATTTTAAGTCACCTCACTTAAATACAGACGTTTCCAAGAGCAACGCGTCCATTCAATTTACACAACCTTCCATTACACCAGCATACACTCATACATTCATATAAACAATATATATGTGTATACCTACATATCTCTCACATAAATATTACCCAAATTTTGCAATTCCCTTTGCATATATGTATGTATGTAGTCGTATGTACATATATACTTCATGTACTCACCTGCAAGAATGCCCGTATCGTTGTCGAGTCCACCACGCTAAATGCCGAACACACGTAATAACCGGCATCGTCCTTTTGTACGCCACTCAATTGGAGTGTACCTTCGACAGAGACATGCATGTGGCCATAGGAATTGTTTGGGAACATCAGTGTTGGTGAGCCTTCTTTTGTCCAAAAGACCGAAGGCGGCGGATTGCCATCGGCAACGCAAGGAAACTGAGCAACGCCATTCAGACCGATCTTTTTGTCTTGCGGCTTCACAACGAATGTGGGCGGTGCTGTGGGTAGTGAGAGAGAGATGACAGAGAAGATAGTTGTTAAAAAATATGGAATTTTAAATTAAATGAAATGCAGGCGTATACTTAAATTTTAAGGTTTAATATGAATTTTGTACAATTTTCAAAGAGGGAATAAATTAAATAAAATTTAATTCAAATTTTAAGTAAGCAAACTTAATTCTTTACCAAAAAAAATTTTGCTGTAATGTAAATAGCGCACATTCAAATTTTTTGTAAATTTTTCAAAATTTATTTATTTCGTCATACTATTTTTTCTAACATTTACGAAAAAACGAAAGAAGTGTTGTTGAAGGCTGATAACGAGAGGATATTAAAAGTTTCCTTTTCACTTTTCAGCATATAAAATTGTTGTATAATTATAGCATACAGCTAAGAATCATCAATATTATGTTAAAAGAATCAGTTTTTTTTTTCAATTTTTTGAAGGATAATTCTGCTCCTCGATTGGGCGATTGCCAATTTCAACAAATTTATCGCTATCCATGAATTTTGACTTAATAATAAATATTAAAAAATATTATTTTAAATAAACAATTTCGATTCTTTTCAAATAACTTTAAATTTAAAATTATTATTTAAATTTTTTTTATCAAATTAAAAAAAATTTCATTTTTAAGTATATAAATTAATTTCCTTTTAATATAAAAAAATATGTCACTTTTGTTTTTTTTAGCTTCTTGTTTTCATGGTTTTGTTAAAAACATTTTCGACTGTTTCTTGATTAATTAAAATTTTAATTTTTTCCATTTAAAAATTCAAATTTAAAAATTAAAAAAATGAATTTCCATAATAACTTTTTAATTTAATTTTTTATTGTTAAGCATATATCAGCAAAATTAAAATATATATTTTTAAAATTAATTTTAGTTTAATGATTACAAGATTTAAATTTTTTTGATGCAAAATTGATTTTGAGTTTGTTTTGATTATTTAAAAAAATAATTTTCAAATTTAAATGAAAAAAGGTGGAAAGAGTTATTTCACTTTAAATAGCAATTTTACATCTTTTTGTTGATTTTTTAAACTCATTGAAATTTTTTTATGACCGTTTTATTATTATAATTTAAATAATTTATTAAAAGCTAAATTTCTGAGTCTTGCTGTTTTAACATTTTTAACATTAATTTTATGTTAATTTAATCAAAATATTTTTTTATTTAAGTATTATAATTTTTAAATAAGAAAGTTTCCTTTTCCTAAAACGCCTGCACTAATTTTTAGTCAATTTGTTTCAATTATGAAATTGGTAAAATTAGATTAATTAAATTAATTAAAATTAGTCAGTTTCAATTTAAATTTTTTTTTATAATTTTAATCCATTATTTTGAAGTGTGATTTTTATGCTTTAAAGATTTAAATTGTTTTCTTAAGTTTTCTGCAACGTTGTCAGAGCGTATATTTTTGGGAAATAGTGAAAAAAATACAACAACATTTCTTAACAGTAGAAGTTAAGTTGGTTAGTTAAATTGTTTTCGTTTGCTTCAACGATTTTTGGCGAAATATAAATTTATGAAATTTATCATATTTCAGAAGATTTGGATTTTTCAAAATTAATTAAGTTAATATTTTACAAATTTTTTGTATATTATCTAACAAAAAAGTTAATTAATTTAATTTAATTTTTTTTTTTAATTTACATTTTATATTGTATAACTAAAAAAGTTGCAACCTTTGCTTCATTTCAAATGTTTTTTTTTTGGCTTAAACTAAATTTTGAAGTTTTTTTAAACAACAGTTTTTAAGTTAAACATTTTCTTATATCTAAAAAAATTTTGTATGTTTTTCATTAGTACTAAATTTTTTAAATTGAAAAGTTTCATTAAATTTAATTTTATTAAGCGAATTTTAAATTTATGAATTAAAAAGGTTTATGAAATTTTTTTTGATTAAAGCAGTTTAAAATTTTTAATTTTAAAAATTTTATTAAAGTAAACATTCAATTAAACAAATTTCATTGATTTACAGACTATTTAGTTAAAAAATATTTTGAATTTTTTTATATTTTATTGCAAACAAATAATTTTTTTTTTGCGTAATTATGCACGAAATTTTCAATAGTAATGTATGTATGAAGTACCATTGACATGTAAAAAAATTTCACCAGCTTCCACGCAAAGCGTTAATGAGAAAAGTTTAGCATGTACTCCACTCTTCATTTTGCCAGTCACTATGATTTCGGCACTTTCGCCACACACCCACATAATTACTACCAAAAATTCCAACACAACTATCCTCAGCAACCAATCATACCGTTTACTTTTACATTCATTTATACATAAATACATACAAACATATGTACATATTCCACAATACTTACCATGCACCGTCAGCGACGCGCGCGCACTTATCTGTCCCACACTATTGTGCGCCTCACACACATACGTGCCCTCGTCGGCGGGCGAAATATTGGTGATTTCTAAACTTTTGTCATCGTGTTGTATGCGCGCACGAGCCACGGGTATGTTGCCCTCCTCTTTCTTCCATAAAATTTTCGGTGGCGGATCGCCGCCAACGAGGCAATGAAATTGTACCGTTTGGCCAGAGAGTGCGGTGAGATCTTGTGGCTCCTTCATGAAGTACGGTTTGACTGCAAAAATAGTGTGCGAGAGAGAGAGAGAGAGAGATATGAGCAAAAATTGAAAATTTCAACAAAAATTGTCAAGTGAGTGCGCAATTGAAAAATTATGAGTTTGCAAGCATCAGATAAAAATTATTTTCTAAAGTTCGGCCTGAAAGGGTTAAATGTCTCTTATAGCGAATACGTTAGTGTATGTGTGTGCAATTGTATGCCATTCAGTATTCTCCAGCGAAATTAATAAAGTTTTCAATTAAAGCGACAACTATACAGCTAAGATGGTCTACTTGTACATAGTAATACATAAGTACCGCTACTCATAAACAGTTATTGCTTAGTTAGTAGTTTCCGCTCTAAGCGAAGTGCTCCAGCAAAAGTTAATGAAGATTTTTGTTAAAAAGCATAACTCCAGCAATGGCCGCCTTTAGCTTTTGACCACTCGCCCATAGCGGAACCAGACTGGAACTTGTAAAACTTTTCCAATAATAGTTTTAAGTTTCATTACAGCATTGCGCTCAAACACAAACACGTACACTAAGAAAGGGCTGACTGCTTTTACGCTAAGGGAAACACTTAAAAGAGCTAACCACCCGGTCACGCCGGTCACTCTTTGCAGCCTTCGCTGTCGGTACTGTCATGTCCTGCTAAGTGCTGGTGCTTAAGTCTATAAAAGAGTGGTCTTTCTCTAGGTTAATGATCAAAAATGAAAAAAAAAACTTAACTATTTTTCACAAAGCGTCACTTAGATTCTCTAATTTTTGCTGCCACTGACAGTAGTGAGCAAAAGTTTAGCACTCAAGTCATTATCTGTTTTTTTTATTTTTTTTTTTGAATTATTTCGTTCTAATAAATTTTTTTTTTTTTTGTAATGAAAAGTTTTCAGTTACAGCAAACAAACGTATGTATATATATTATTTGTATGTATGTATGTATGTAGTTGTAAAAAATTCAACTAAACTAACAGTTGAAATATTTTAAAGCGCTTTTAATGTTCTATCTCGTCGTTTTTATTCTGCTCCTTTATACGCGCCAGCAAATAGGATAAAGTTTACAACGGCACTTTTTGTTCACACGTTGAACTTTTTACATATATACATACATACATAAGTGCAAATCAGTAGTATGCATTACGGTTTTTATCACAGTTGTGCGAGTTTGAGTTTTAGTGTCGCTAAAAGCAATTAATTACTACCGTTGCGGAGAGAGTTGCCATAGATTTTTGCTAATTTTACACCTTTAATGGTGAGTTTATTTTTTTTTTTTGCCCATCAGGCTTAAGGGTTGTATATATAATAATATATATAATATTTGATGTAAACGCTTTAAGAGTGGTCTTGTGAAAGCATTTAAAGAAAAAGTACAGAAAAAAACTTAATGAACTAAATGAAAAAGCTTTTGGTTAGATTAGGTTCAACAGGATGACCGAATGTTTAACATAGACCTGCTAGTCTCTTGTAGTTCGAGATGGAGGCTCTATTTAATTGGAGTTAAAGTAATCATCGTGTGGGGCGTCGGTGTTTTTTGCAAAATTATAGAGAACTTTCAAATCTATTATAATACCTCCTCTAGTCATTTAAAATGTGAAGCTCCTCGGTTTCTAAGACGACCTCTAGATAAACCCGACAAAAATTTGGGCAGATTCATCAACGAATTCGTCTAGCCAGCTTCACTACTACTCTTCCCACATGCGCCACTGCCTAAGTAGGTTGTGCACTGTCATTAAGCCAATAATCATCTTGTAGTCTCTCAGAGAGGGAAAAAAGTGGGCCTTGACCACTTTGTTGACCTTGCATATATTCTGGGTGCTCTCGGTTGCTCTTAAGACATGCTATCTCATCCTGATTATTCTTCTTTTAGTTCAGAAATTTCATAAATTATTCAAATATTTTTTTTTATTGCCGCACACTAGATTCCTTCATTTTCCACAATAACCCTATAGTCTGGAGGTCAGTACCCGCCTTATCTACTGCCTTCCTGCTAAGGCCGTTTTCTGATGTAATATAAGGGGAGATTATCAGCTTTTCTTAACGCACAGATCTTCGTCTGGAACAAACTACTGAAGCTAATTTTTGTTTCCGTTCGTTTAGATGTTTGTGTTTTTGAGTTATTTCTTGGCAGGGAATTCACCTGACGTCACAAAACTGACAGCGGAATAAACGCAACAATGTCGGTTTATTTAATTTAATTTAATTGAATTTTAATTTAATTTATTCTATTTATTTTTTTCTTATTTATTTATTTTTTAGTTCTTTACTTTATTTTTTTCAGTTTATTTTATTTTATTTTATTTTATATTACATAATTTTTTTTTAACTTTATTGAATATCATTTTATTTTTCTTTTTGTTTTATTGTATTTTATTTAATTAGATATAATCTAATATATTTTAATAAATTTTAGTTTAATTTATTTTAATTTTATTTTATTTTGTTTTATTTTCTTTTATTTTTTTATTATTTTATTTAGTTTTATTTTATTAGGATTTAATTATTTTTATTTTTTTCATTATTTTTGATTTTATTTTATTTTATACTAAACAATTTTTTTAAATTTGAATATCATTTTATTTTCCTTTCTGTTTTTTATTTAATTTAATATTTAATTAAATAATATTTAATATAATCAAATATATTTTAATAAGTTTTAGTTTAATTTATTTTAATTTGATTTTATTATATATAATTTTCATTGATTTTTTTTATTATTTTATTTAATTTTATTCTATTTTGATTTAATTGTTTTTGATTTTATTTTATTTTATATAACACATTTTTTTTTAATTTTATTGAATATCATTTTATTTTTTTTTTGCTCTATTGTATTTTATTTAATTTAATATAATCTTAATTTTAGTTTAATTTATTTTAATTTTATTTTTTTATATATAATTTTATTTTTGTATATTTTTTATTATTTTTTTTTTTATTTTTTTTATTTTGATTTAATTATTTTTTATTTTTTAACATTATTTTTAATTTTATTTCATTTTTGATATTTTTCTTAATTCAAAATTCACATCATTGGTTTTTTCTATTATATTTTATTTAGTTTAATTTAACTTAAATCAATTTTATTTTATTTTATTTTTTTATTCTCACTTATTTAAGTACCATGATCTTAAAATATGTTCTTAATTTCCGTGTTTCTTCTTTAGCAAAAAACTTGCTACTTTCTGTCCTTCATTTCAATTAAATACAAAAAATAAAAAATTTACAAAACTCTCATTGGAAAAGTATTACGAGCATTAGCATAAATTTTATAGGAAATCTGCTCTTGCACTTACTCGCCATTCACTATGCGTTGGCCAAGTAAATAAATATCTCAGCAGTAGAGAGTGAAAAAATAGCAAAATAAAAATGGAAAGCAATAAAAAGTAATCGCTGCAATGGTTTTGAAAAATAAATTTGAAAGAAATCTAAGCCAAATGGAGCTCTGAATGTGAATGTGACCGTATTATTGGCAATGCGCTCTTTACGTTATTATTGTTATTGCTGGCATTGTTCGCATAGTGAGTAAAAAATGTGTGTTGTGAAAGAGGAGAGAGCTTCACTGACTGACAAATATACATCTATGAAATATTTATAAATTACATGTATTTGTAATAAAAAAAAATAAATGTAAATAAAACAAAAAAAAAAAAAAACAAAATGGCAAGCAATTCTAAAATAAGGATTGAAAAATCTTGCAACGAATTGCAGAAAAACATTAAACCCGCTCAATTGCATAAGTGCACTAAGTGCAACATAAAATTCACTGCATAGGAGTCAACAATAAGCGAGGGAAGAGGAAGTTATACCATTTGAGGAAGAGTGGGTGACTGGAGGGCAAATTTGTGCTTGACTGTACAGACATGTTGACTTGAAAAATCAGTCATAAAAAAGCTCTCAAAAGGAAGTTTGAGATTTTTAGTAGACTGTACGTCGCAAGAACTACTGAAAAGTGATTTTAAAATTTTTTTCCATAGAAAAAATTATTAGAAACAAAAACATAATGCCTTAAAGCTTTTATGTTCTTCCTGTTTATTTTCACAATATTATTACACTATCCGTGTGAAAAACGCTTTTATATACATTTTTAAGGCTCATCATTTCCAGCTTAATCAAAACCAAATAAACACCTCTTTTGTAAACAAAAGTATGCCTATCTAAACGCATCTACATATGTAGATACATTCATATTCATAAACACACATCTGCATAAGTTCTCACGCGCCATCAGTCGCCCACCCCTCTAGAGGCCACCTAATGCTCTACACACAAACCTCATTGTGGTTGCTGGCAAACAAGTTTTGTTTACCTAATCGATTTTTCCTTTAATAAACAAAATCATATTCATATACTAATTTTGTTTGTATGTAAATAAATTGATGTGTGCTGATAGCATAGACATGATTTCAGTCATACAATACATACTTATATTTATATGTTCACAGATTAGAGCATTTGATTCAATATATTTTCATATATAATATATATACACGTACATACATATACTTATTTAGCTTGCGCGAAGCCACCAAATATGCATAAGCTCACTTTAAGTGTCTCTTGACGCAGCGTGGGTAGCATTCGTGGCGTCATCAGGAGTCGTCAAAACAAAGTACCATACACACACACACACACACACACACTTGTAAACAAAATTACCGCGCCACACTATCAAACTGTTTCATTTCCGTTTACGAACGTTTTCCCTGCATTTCATGAGCAATATTGTGGTTTTCGTTTTTGGCTTTGTTGTTGCCAACGTCTGCGATCGCTTTGGTAACACTGCTTGAGTGGCGCCTACAAGCGATTTGCGTGTAATCTCAATTGTTCGCCCTCACCTGGCTGGCCGCAGGGGAGTATCAATGTATGTATGTATGTATGTGTGTTTGGTTTTATGAGGATGTGTGTATGTGTGTGTGCTCATATAGGTGCTCTTATCGCTAACGCCAGTAGGGGGTCACAAATTATTTACATATGTAGGTATTTATATGTACGCGCATACCCTTATGTATCTATATTTATAACACCATTAGATGTTTGTATGTGTGCATGTGCATACAGGAGGCACGCTTGTGTAATAAAAAAGGTTAATTTAATGCCTTGCGAGGCGAATAAATGACATTTGTGCTTTGCGCTATGTTGGTATATTCTAATTATACAATCAAACATATGCATGTACATATGTACTTATATATATGTGTACAAATTATTATTTATTTAGGATTGAGGCGCTAGAAGTCGTTTAATGCTAATGAACTCAATTGGCTTATCAGTTGTGTAATAAAGTTTATATTTCGTTAAAATAACGGTAGTTAAATTAATAGGTTAAGGCATTGCTACTGGTATTACGCGTTTCTATTTTAACCAAAAATACAAGATTTTTCTATACTGCCCGTTTTCAGCTTTTATAATTTTTTTTTCAAACTTCCATAATTTTATCATTGTTTTGCTTTGCCTCATATTACATTTTAATTCATTTTATGTTCTTTAGTTTAATATTTTCAATTTGATACCAAAATCACTTAAATTTATTTTACTTTATAATTCGGATAATAAATGTTTTATTTTATTTTAATAAATTGTATATTATTTACTTTCGTTTTATTTTATTTTATTTTATTTTATTTTATTTTATTTTATTTTATTTTATTTTATTTTATTTTATTTTATTTTATTTTATTTTATTTTATTTTAGTAATTATTTTATTTAATTTTGTATTTCGAGTTTTTTCATCACACCGCCCGCGTATATTTCAATTCAATTTAAAGATATTTGTAAGCCCACCATCATTTACAATAACAACAACAACATGCCCATCTAGGCATAACCACTTGTCACATTTATCTCTGCCATATCAATACTTTATCAGCAACATGAGAAACCTTTTTCAATCCAACAGATTTTTTAGCCAAAAAAGAAAATAAACGAAAGGCATTCCAAATGAAATTGATGAAAAATAGTAAGTAAAGACACAAAAAACCGTAAAGATAAACATGTTTTAAATGCATAAAGCACAAAATGCAGGAGAAGAGCGAGAAATTGTAATGAAAATAACTGAAAATTAAATAAGCAGGTAAATCTGCAATAAACCAAAAAGTTAAGAACTAAATGGCAGAAAAAGAAAATGCAAAAGCAAACCCAACGAAAATAGTAAACATAAAGCAAAGTGAGATAAACAAAACTTTATCGCTTGCACGTGACCAAGTGGCGATTTTGGTTTGAGTTTTTTATTATTCGATTTTCTGCCTCTTCTTTTTGGCTGCTGCTTTGTTTATTATTTTGTTCGTTTTTGCTTCGCTTTTTGCGAATTTTGTTTGTGAATTTTTTTGTTGCCAAAACTTTTCGGATAAACTCACCTTGTACAATTAATTTAGCATAACTGGACTCGCGTGTGCCAACCAAATTCTGTGCAATGCATTTATAGTTGCCCTCATCGATGGGCTCCACGTTGCTTATCAATAAATTGCCACCATCGACGACGCGTATACGTGATGAGGGTCCATAAGATTTCATTTTTAAATCATCTAACGGTACACCGTCCTGAAAAGATTAAAGCAAGATGGGGGATAAAAACAAATATTTGTATATAAGAATGGACGCAAATATTATTATTTTAGTTATGAGATATTTTGTAAAATATTTTATCTTGAGCAGGATTTACATGCTCTGAAATAATTAAAATCGATAAATAAATTGAAAAACTGATCATAAGCAGTTTAGGAGCTCATAATTTATTGTTATTTATAAATTATTTATTCCTTCGTTATGCCCCAAGTGACCCAAAGTGACCCAAAATTTATATTCCTAGTTAGGAAAATTTTCGACCCAGCCGTGACGGTCCCTTACCAGAAATCATTTTTCAAACAAAATAAAAAAATCATGTATTTATTCCTCGTCCGGCCGCCAAGATGTCCTCAATTAAAATGGGTTCTTTTGACCACCGAATTTTGTCTATGGAACAAAAAGGGTCACAGGGTGACATATCAGGGGAATAAGGCGGTTGTTGCAACACAATGATCCCTTTGGAGGCCAAATACTGGGACACGCTGAGGGCGGTGTAGAACGGCGCGTTGTCAAGATGAAGTATCCAGTTACTACCGATGTCTGGGCACATCCTACTGACTCGTTTTTGCAATCCTTCGAGTACTTGGCGATAGTAGACTTGATTTACGGTTTGCCCCCGTGGAAGAAATTCTTTGTGGACGATTCTAAGGCTGTCAAAAAGGCATCATTTTCTCCTTCGACTTGCTCATGCGAGCTTTTCTAGTGTCATGTAGGGGGGAGACAACCATTGTTAGCTTTGGCGTTCGGTTTCCGGGTCATATTGAAGCTTTAGCGTACGTTACTGAAGCTGTTTTGCTCAATTCGGCGCAAAATTTTATCACGGCGCGTTGCTCTTGACTTCGTTTTTCCATTTATGTGCTGAGCACTACTAACACAAGTTTACTCAACACTGCTGCGTCGTGTGAGCTCTACAAGCTAGAGCGATGGCAAATATATCAATGTGGAGGGGAAGGGAAAGTAACCACAATCGCGGCAATATAATCAGTCTCATTACTTGATTGTCACACCTCGTATTTACTTTTTATATATGTAATATAAAATATATTTTTACATAATTACTTACTCACTTGTACATACACGTATGTACTTTCTCTTTCGAACACTAATTTTCTTCTCACCTCAGTGAAATTTGCTTACATTTTTACTTGACAAATATATGTATATATGTACGTGAAGGTGTCTTCACTTGCGCCGATCTACCTACATAGCAACAATTACATACATATGTATTCATACATATATCATCACCGTTATTTCTCTTCCATCAACAACAAAATGTTTGCATATCAATTTCAAAGCGAATTTATGCACACACATTTCACTTTGTGACAGCAACGTGTATACTAAATAATTCACAGCTTTTCCATTTACGGAAATAAAGATGATCAGTGCTACACACTTAGGTACAAGCTTATAACTGCATACCAACATATGTGTATATATTACCACTGTGAAGGAAATGATGCCAGGTGGCAACATGCTGAGCAAATAAAATATTCTTTTTTTTTCTTTTCTTTTTATTTGTCACTGTTTCTTTTTATAAATATAAAAAGTCACAGGGAAATTCACTTGCAACATGTGTCTGCATGTTTGCTTGGCACGCAGCCACTTGACTGTCTCTTGCATTATCTACGCATGTCCACATAGATACATATAGATGTGAGGCAACAATGACACTACCGCTTATAGCTGTACTAATATACAAAACTCCAATTGTGAACTAGAAAAATTAAACAAATGAAATAATGTCCTTAACTGGTATTTTAGTGGCCATAAAATAACTAGTATTATACTAGTATGTTCTAGCTGTGGTCTTTTCAAAAAATTCTCACTCACCTTTTTCATGTAGAAAATAGTGGAAGAAGAATATATTTTGGAAAAGTCTAAATGAGTAACATATTAATCGAGAACGAGTACTTTGCGCTAGGCTCCGATCCGTAAAAAATACATATATACTGTCATAGAATACTTTTTAATGCAAGGTGGACAACTTGAGTAAAAAAACTGTGGTTTTGAGTTATCTCTCGCGGTAACTAGGATAAGCCTATTTAATATCGCATTTACCATCATATTGAGCGTATTGTGTGGAGGATTAAAGCCCTCTTTTAACAAACTGATTAAGGTCAAAAATTTTCACACTTAAAAACAGAAGTCACTGGGTATCCATAAATGTCATGCATTTGCTGATTTTGCCTCGGAACAACTTGAAAACGATAACGATTTTTTTAACAAAATCATCTTCTCCGTGTAGGCTCACCTTTCATCTGAGTGGTGCTATAAATATTCAAAACTGTTCATTCTAGTGCAAAGAAAATCTACAAAATATTCATGAACAACCATAAAAGTTAACTAAATTGACAATTTGGTGTGGATTTTGGACGGGTGGAATCATCGGTCCGTACTTCTTTCTTTTTGTGGTCATAATTGGAAGAAATTTATTTCCACAGTATGGGGTTTCATTGAATTATTGCGTGAAAGGTTTGGAGATTCGACTATATCAAGGAATGTTTGCATTGAATGGCCGCCAAAGAGATGTGATTTAATACCCTAAAGTTTTTGTAAAGGAAGGCGTGGAGCCCATTTGAATGATGTTTTATGCAGAACTTGATTGTGTCGACTGTACTTTGCGTTAAGTTAAAAGCAATACAATTTTCTAAACAATTCGTATCCCTCTTATTGGAAAACCCTATAGCTGTTTAGCTTCTCATATCCGAAATTGTATACATATATACATTACTATTATTATTTAATCTTTTAAGAATTCTTTGTACTCACCTTAACCCATATTAGCGCCGGCTCTGGTGTACCCTTAGGTGGTCCACATTCCAGTAATGCTGTTTCGCCTTTTGCTACCCGTGTATCCTTCGGTTGAGAACGGAAGTCATCGCGTAAAACTGGAAAGAGAAAAAAGAAAATAAATATGATAAAACAGATTAAAATACTCAGATAGAAATTCTATTGTAGAACGGAATTTTTCTAACTTTGCTAATGAATAAGAATAAACACTCCACCGTAGAGGGAGAAAAGCTAAGTAAATAAGATTGACAAACTTTCAATTAAATACAGAAAAGACAGCTATGCTACTGATTTAGGCTAGAGTGGGCCAAAAGCATATCAGTCTACGGCTTTTGCCCTCCAGAGTTGATAAAACACCCAGCCATAGCAAACTAATGCTATAGACACCTAGAAATAGGTGAAATGGATAGGCGCTTGGAAAAAAACTCACAGAAGTTATAGAGATTTTCAGGTATTAGGTTCGAAAGTTTGTTCGACCTCAGACCACTACGCTTTCTTAATGAAATTTTGGGCTCACTCAATCTAATATTTGATCCCGCGGGACTTGGTTTTTGAATTACCTTTCAGCACCCATCTGGCCTCACCGGTCATCATTATTCAGTGTGTTTATGTATTGAAAAAAATATAAAAGTGGACTCCAATATCTGATTCATTAAAGAATCTTTAAGAAATCTAGATTCAATAAGCCGCACAAAATGGAAATATAAAAACTGGCAGAATTTTCAATAAAGAAGTATAACCAACGGCGTGTGAATGGCGGGAAACAGAGACGCTTTGGATCTCAAATCATAAAATTTAGAATTATTATTTCTGTTGCATCTTTAAAACACATAATTTATTTCATATACGTACATATAAAGTTTATATATTTAACCCACATACATATACTTTTACTTATGTCCAGCCTATTTATGCCAACACTTCCTTCACAATCTACCAAACATATACAAATAGCAGACTAAATGCTTAATAGAGCAAAGCTAATAATAATAATTGTTATTTTATGACAAAATTCCATTAGTGTGGCAATTAAAGAGATGAACATAGTAAGTCTATGTAAGTATATGTACGTACATATGCGCGAGTATGTATGTATGTGAGTTGGAAGGAGGTTGCTTAATAATAATTTTATAAGATAAATTTTTCAAGTGGCTAAAATTCAATAACAGACAGAGCAGTCAAAGGCATAAACAAACGCACTACGAGTAGTTGCCTTATACAGGAAATTGAAAGTGTGTCGCGCATGCGCACCAGCGGGATTTGTTGTTTGAGACAACCGCCGATTGTGTTGCACGCTAATGAAGTCTCTTACTAAATACTTTAATAACACAAAAACCTTAACATATGTGTGTATGTATATATACGTAATTTTTCAATGAATTTATGTCTATTTAATTGAATGTTTATATGTATGTTAATGTGTATGATAGCTAAATGTGAGTGCCATGGCGAGCCAATTTCCGTTTTGCAAGTAAGCGAAGCGAAAGGGTCTTTTCAGAGCCCGCTGTTTATAATTTGTTTACAATTTATGACATACATTTAATCGTGGTACTAGATTTATACGGATTATTTCTGCAAGCATACAATTTTTTTATTTTATTTTTATATTTTTTTTATTTTTTTTTTTAACAACCGCGGTTTGATTACTGTAGACATGTCACAGCTGCTTGTAAATCGCTTAGGCGTAAATATTTATTCTAAATAGGCAAGTGATTAACATTCACTTTTTGCATGTGTACTGGCGGCTGTAATAGCTGAGCGGTTAACATTGCTTACTGAAATATGTTCAAAAATTCAAAAATGTAAAAAAAACTATTTTTTTATGGTACGGAATAGAAGCCCTCCGTATTTATTTCTAATATTGGATGAGTGCATAAGTTCGTGCCCGAATTCAAGACCAAACTAAAATTGAAATTTTTTGAAGAAAGCGCTTTTATTAATCAATTATGTATTCGCCATCATGTTCGGCAATCCACTCCCAGTCACGAGCCGATCCAAAAAAGGTTCGTTTTTGATCCGTCGAAGGAAAGAAATTGCTGTTGACATACGGTCTTTGTTTATTTTTCACTCAACTGATGTGGCACCCATGTATCGAGCTTCAAAGTGTATACAACCTTTTTTAAACGACGAAACGCAGTTGATTTGTTGGCATTCAATTCACTGGCAACCTCTTCCGTCGAAATACGTGAGTTATTCGCAACTAAAGTCCTTAGAACATCGTCATCAAGCTCAGAAGGCCGTCCACTGCGAGGTTGATCTTCGAGGTTAAAATCTCCAGAACGAAATTTCGCGAACCATTTCTTTACTGTGCGGAGTGCTGGAGCACGGTCCAAATAAACTTCGCGAATATCTTTAGTTGCAGCGCCTACTGTTTTTCCTTTGCAGAATTCGTATAACAAAATATGACGCAAATGATCTTTTTCGTTGTCCATCTTCCATGCGTCTTTTCACTAAGCAACTCAAATCAAAATGAAGTTATTTTATGCTTGATTTACAGTTCGGACTGTCACCTTTCCAACGATATATAATATGTATATATTTCTTTCACGAGCGCCACTCTCAAACGATTCGAACGGCATCCAGCGGAATCGGGCACGAACTTATGCACTCATCATATAAAATGAAAAATTAAAAAAAAAAATCCATTGGTCATTCAGAAGCGGTCGCCTCTTGGCAGAGAATATCCACCTCTCCGTAAAGGCTCATCGTAAGAAACCATCAGCCGTTCGGAGACGGCTTAGTATAAACTGTAGGTCCTCCTCAGCGGCTACAAAGCGCCAATTTTATTCAGGTCCCTCGATATGTTGGAAAAAATATCGACATGCACAATACAGATTGAAGTTTTACCTTTTATTTTATTAAATTTTATTTTATTGTTTTGTATTTAATTTAATTTTAATTTTTTTTTAAATTTATTATATTTTTTTATGTTATTCTGTTTTACATTATTTTATATCATTTATTTTTATTTTTTTTTATATTATAATTTCATTTTACTTTATTTTAATTTATTTTAATTTAATGTAACTTATATTATTTATTTTTATTATTTTATATTTTTTTATTTTATTTTATCTTATTTTATTAAATTTTATTCTATTTCGTGGCATTTTATTTTGTATTATTTTTTTATTTTAAATAATTTTATTTTATTTTATTTTAAGATTCTTTATTATATTGTTTTTTATTTTGATTTACTTTATTTCACTTTTTTATTTTGTTTTATTTTATTTAATTTAATTTATTTTGTTTTATAATTTTTAATTTTATTTTACTTTAAATTGTTTGGTTTTGTTCTATTTTATTTCATTTTATTTGTTTTTGTTTTAATTATTATTTGTTAACGCTTACCGTAATTTATACATTATACATTTCCTCTCAAAGAATTGAGTTCATGCCACAATTTTTGACTCGCTCTTGTCATTTTATTCGAAATCACTTTTGCAATTATAAATAAAAAATTCAATTCACTTCACCAGTTGACTTGAGCTGATCGGTGTCGACTTGCAGGCGGCGCTGGGTGACTATAAATCAAAGTTGTCGCCACTTTATTTAATTTGCAGCTATTTCATACACCCACCCGATTTTAGCGCCAAAACACATTTAAACATTTTAAATAAATATCATTGATTTTGTTATGCCTCATACGACTAAGTCTTGCGAAATCCCAAAGGCCATTTGCAGTGGACTCAAGTGGAAGTTGGAATTTTTCGCCAGCTAAAGCAAACCACAGAAGGGCAGAAATAGCTTGAAAACTCAACTGCAGACAAACGCGACACCTTTTTCGGCTGTAAGTGGCATGTGGCATGAAGTCGCATGGACGCCACCACCGTGCTTACCACTACCAAAGTTAGGGGCAAAGCAAGCGGCCTTCGTTGTTTTTGTTGACGTCAATGTTTGGTTTGTGCCACAAATTTTGGCATTTTACGGTTTTAAATGCTTTTTCTCTTATTGCTGTTTATCATATTTATTTCATATGCAATTTTTGCTTCCTACTTCATAAATTTTCGCCTTTTTAAAAGCAATTCAATTGAATTCAGTGCAATTCAATTCAGTACAATTTAATTTCAAATAAATTGTTATTTTTTTCTCTTTTTTATATTTTTTATTTATTTATTTCCTTAACATTTGCTCGCCTTTTGATTTCACTCGCCATAAGCTGTGAATTGTTCCACCGATTTCGGTTTGGCTCTGCAGCGCCCGCGACCAAATATATTTAATTGTGCATGTGTGTAGGCATTTCATTATTCGCATTGTCTCTGCGATTTGGCATTGTCTTTTGCGACATATTTTATATTATTTTTTCTATCTTTTTCTGGCGAAATTTTTCCGTTAGCAGCTTGCTTATTGTTTATGCAACACCAGCAAGTGTCAGGCATAAATTTTCACGCTGTCAAGTTGCCAGTCGCAGAAAATACGCTCGACTATTGAATATATTTGTGGGTTCAATGGAAAATTGCATTCATATGTGTATGAATGAATTTCATGAAAATTTAACGACTTTAATTGTGCTTGCGCTGTCACTATTATTTGCGCCAGTTAGCAATGAAAGGCGAAAAAAAAACAAAAAATAAAAATAAAAAATATAAAAAATAGTTGAAAAAAGAAATTACTTAGCAGTGACAAAATTTGTTTTGTATTAGACAAGGCTGAAGGTGAACAAAAATGAATTTAGATTTTGCATTTGTACACTAAATTTCCATAGAATAAATAATGCCAATTCCTAAGCCTTCTATGAACGCAGCGAAATTTTATTTAAAATTTTATGCATTATTTAGGTTTATTTATTTTGCATTAGAATTATCTATTTAAGTAAATTTGGATATGTTCGGAATGCAGGTCATCATATCGATTGGCCAAAAAAGATGATTTTAATTATTTTCTCACTTGAAATCTGTTTATTGAAAATTGGCAACACCGCCATTGGAATTACAAAAAGAAAAACAAACAAAAAAATACTTTGCAGACTGAAAATTGAAGGAAACTTAACCCTCACTCCAGAGAAACACTCATATTTTTCATAAGCAATAAAATGCATGTACGTTTTACGTGGAAAATTGGCAACATTGCAGCAAACAAGCACATATGCATAGAAATC